GAAGATGGAGTAGTGACACTCAGAACTGCTAGGACTTGTGGTCCTATAAGAATTTCAGGAAGTCTAGCTGGTGTGGCTCAGTGATTGAGCATCAACCAATGAACTAGGAGGTCACTTATTCAATTCCCGGTCAGGGCACATGCCCAGGTTGCAGACTCAATCCCCAGTAGGGGGCATCTGGAAGGCAGCCGATCAATGTCTCTCTCTCATCAATGTTTCTATTTCTCTCCCTCTCGCTCTAAAATCAATAAAAATATTTTTAATAGAAATAAACATAAATAAAATAGAATAAATGGCATTTAAATTTAATTAAAAAAAAACACCTATTAATTGACTTCCTCCATGCCAAAGAATGAAACAAAGACCTTCAGTACCAGGGGAAAATTTGCTAGGCAAGGAAACACCCACTAATGAATAAATGAGCTGAGGAACTCAGGTATTTTTAAGTGTAATAAAGGCAATTTCATGGTGGGATGTGTGGAAGGCAGCTGATCGATGTTTCTCTCTCATCGATGTTTCTGACTCTCTATCTCTCTCCCTTCCTCTCTGTAAAAAATCAATAAAATATATTTTTAAAAAAATAAAAGTATATGGCTCAGTAGTGTGACATATATTCACATTCTTGTGCAACCTTTCCCCAAAACGTTTCATCTTGCAAAACTGAAACTACCCATTAAATGACAAATTCCCATTTCCCACTCCTCCCAGCCCATGGCTACCACCAATCTACTTTTTGCTACTATGAATTCTACTAGTTTTTGGGTACTTCATCTAAGTGGAATCATACAGTATTAGTCTTTTGGAGACTGGTTGATTTATTTCAATTAGCATGTCCTCACAGTTCATTCATAGTGCAGCATGTGGCAGAATTTCCTTCATTTTTAAGGCTGAATAATATTCCATAGTATGCATATTGCCACATTTTGTTTCTCCATTCATCCGTTGATGGGCATCTGGGTTGCTTCCAGGTTTTGGCTATTGTAATGTTCTTATGAACATGGGTGTTCAAGCATCTGTTCAAGTCCCTGTTTTCAATTTTTTTTGGGTATATTCCCAGAAGTTGGACTGCTGATCATATGGTAGTTCTATTTTTAATTTTTTGAGGAACCTTGAGAATCACTTTTAAAAAGCAAATTCAGCAGGGCTGATTTTGTTGCCTACAAGACAATAGAAAATAGTACTGGCTGCTAAAAGCTATTCTCTTCTTGGACTATATTAATATACCCTACTAAGTACTATGCATGCAATACTCTAAAGTTAAAGGAGCTCTGTGTGAATAATTAAATGTATACACATTTCAGGGACATCAATTGTATATGATTTGTGTCTTTAAGTGCTTTGAGGGACAATCTTTATTTTTAACCAAATATTGTTGAGCACTTGCTCTGTGCAAGGCATCACGTGGAAACCTAAAATATACCCAACTTGGTTTGTACTTTCACAAAGCTTCTAGTCCCAGAGCGGGCAGCAATACCCTTTGGTGTGTGGTGTGTTAAAATAGTGGTACAAAGGGAAGGTTCTTGCTGTTCAGGGGAGGCAGGAGTCATGGGAAAAGACTTCTTGGAGAAGGTAACATTTGGGTGTGATAGAGATAGGGTTTACAGGGTTCCAGGTGGCTGGCACACACTGAGTCAAAGCAGAAAGTGTCCATGAGTTTAGAGAAGGTGAGGGCATGAGAAGTTGAGTGGGAGATTCAGAGAGCTAAGTGGAAGAGGTCAAGGAGAGCTTTAATACCAGGATGAAGAATTCAAACTTCTATGGTAAGTGGGGTTAAGGGGCTCGGAGGTTTAATTTTTTAAATATATTTTTATTGATTTCAGAGAGGAAGGGAGAAGGAGAGAGAGAAACATCAATGATGAGAGAAAATCATTGACTGGCTGCATACCCTCTACTGGGGATCGAGCCTGCAACCCGGATATGTGCCCTTGACTGGAATTGAACCTGGGACCCTTCAGTCTGCAGGCTGCCACTCTATCCACTGAGCCAAACCGGCTAGGGCCTCAGAGGGGTTTTGATTAGGGAGTGATGTCAAAGCAGTGCATTGGAAAGGTTAGTCTGGCAGTGATGTGTGTGGGATAGACTAAAAAGGAGAGTTACTGGCAGCTGAGAAATTGGTGAGAAAGGGTTAAAAGGGATAACCCAGTATGCTGTGAAGTTAGAGCAGTGGTTCTCAACCTTGGCTGCACATTAGAATCACCTGGGAATCTTTTTAAAATCCTGATTTCTGGGCCTCATCCTCCAGAAATTCTGTTTCTTTGTGGCCCAGCCAAATGAACAAAATAGAAACAGACTGATGGTTACCAGAGGGGAGGGGGTTGGGAGGCTGGGTGAAAAAAGTGAAGAGATTGAGAAGTACAGATTGGTAGTTACAAAATAGTCACGGGGATGTAAAGTACAGCATAGGGAACATAGTCAATAATATTGCGATAACTATGTACGGGGCCATAGTACTTGAAGTATTTGAAGTATCGGGGGACCACTTTGTAAAGTATGACTGTCTAACCACTATGTAGTACACCTGAAGCTAACACAGAATAACATTAAATGTCAACTGTAGTTGAAAAATTTTAAAAGGAGGGGGACTACACCAGGCCTGAGGTAATGAGGGTTTGAATTTGGTGGTGGGCTATGGGAAGTGAGCAGTGGAAAGGAAGGGACAGATAAAGGGACTGACCTTGGCCCCTTTTCTGTGGATGCCCCATCATACCTTTTGCCCCCCCTTCCTCTTCCTTCGTCCTTGTTTAAAAAATATTATGTACCTTATTTCATGACCAATCTTATTCACTTAGGTTTCTTTCAGAACCTTGCATAGTGGCCTACACTTAGCAGGTGCTTGATAACTATTTGTTGAATTGCAATTGGTGACTGATTAGAAGTGGGACAGGGGCCAAAAATAACCAAGGGTTCAAGCCTGGGTGATAGAAGAAAAGAGGGTGCCAAGAGAAGCTGATCAGGTTCGAAGTCAGGTTGAATTTGAGCTCTTGGCAGATTGTCTAGCTAACTTGAAATCTTGGGATATAGGTAGAAGAGAGGGGACTTTAAAAAAAACCCAGTTTTTAAAATTGATTTCAGAGAGGAAGCGAGAGATATAAACATCAATGATGAGAGAGATTCATTGATTGGCTGCTCCCTGCACACCCCACACTGGGGATGGAGCCTGCAACCCTGGCACGTGCTCTGAGTGGGAATTGAACTGGGACTTTCTGGTTTATAGATTGACGCTCAACCACTGAACTGCACTGGCAGGCCAGGCGAGAGAGGGCTTTTAAGGTGCATCCCCACCGTCACCTCCACTCAAGCTGGGAAGATAGTGGCTACGTTTAAGGGTCAAATTTTGGTCTGGGGTCATATTCTGGTCTGCCACTAGCCAAGTACCAAGTTAGTCTCTCTGAGACTCACCTATGAAAGTGAGATAAAGTAGTACTCTTTAAGGTGGTTGTCAAGGCCAAAGGTGAGGTAAAATGTATTAATACACCACCTGGGATAAGTGATAGCTCTAGTTATTGGTTATTATTACTATTATTAAGGTTAGGGAAAGGAGCATAAATCATGTCACTCCTGAGTAAGGCCATCCATGGCTTCCTATTGCATGTTGAATGAAAGGCAGCCTCCTGCCCTGGGCTCCACAGGCCTGAGTTATCAAGCCCCTGCCCACCTCTCATCCAGCACCCCCTCACCCACACCCTGTGTTCTGCCTGGTTGTCCCCTAAAAATGGCAAAATGCTTTGCTTGCTGCCTCAGGACGTTTGCATTTGCTCTTTACTTTGCTTGAAAGGTTCTTTGCATGGCTGGCTTTTCGGGGGGCTGGGGGGATGGGTATGTATATATTGTGCAATCATTCAAATGAAACCTAAGTGATCTTAAGTTTCTCATTGTCCCCTCTAAGCCTGACTCTGCCCATAAGAACAATGAGACTGGATTAGATCATCACTAAGGTTTTCTCTGTAACACTTTGTGAACTTAAGGTGGTAGAGTGTGGCTTTAGATTATTAGACTATACCAAGAATCAGGTCTTCAATTTGCCCTGCAGTCAGAAAGGCCCTAATGGTTCTCCTGGAACAGCAGCCAGGAATGCAGTTTCTAAGACCTGGAAAGGCAGTCACTGAGGCTGCTCTGCCACATTGCCTGCTGCTGTGTAAAAAACTGCTGGGTGTCAGTCTCCATCCACTGGGGAGAATCCCCCCCGCAAAAAAAAAAAACCCAAAAAACTCCACCTTCTTCTGCCAAGGCTTTGGGTGGAGCTAGAAACACTGTTCGTGACAACACTGAGTCAGCACATTCATCAGGGTCAAGCTCACAGTGAAAAGGAACTGGAAGAGGGCGCTGGTTCAGAAGAAATCTTCAGCTGAGGCCTCTTCAGTCTCAAAGGAAATGGAATCAGAATGTGCAAGTTCATTATGCAGATAGCAGGGAAATAAGGTATAATGCTCAAGTTAGGGGTTTCCTCCTAAAATGCTAGAGCTCATATTAGAGTCTCCCCCAAGTATTGAATTATGGACTTCATCACCCCAAGAGATAAAGCTCAAAACTGGTTTTCAAAAGTTGCAAAATGAATTATGTGAAAACAGGCTCTTTTGGAGATATGTAGACACTATTGAGGCTAGGTCGACAAGGACAGCTGGGTTCTCACAAAATGGGATTTGTCAGATTTCTGGGCCAGGAGTTCTCATGGACCTGACCTGATGTGACACTTATGTGCATTAAGTGTCAACATTCCTTCAACATTCCTTCTCTGAGCAGGATTACTTTGTTGCCTGAATCCCCAGGGTTAAAATAAGGATCCTTGGCTGGCCTCTGAAAGCACTGACTTCTTTATTAGCCTCTGAAAACATACAGCTGCTTCTCCTGCCCAAGGGCAAATATACTGAGAACTCTTGATATTTCCCTGTAAGACAGGAAATGACAGTACAGGCATAGCTGTGGGGACTGCAACAGTCAGCTGGGACCCAGGGACATAAGGCTCCCTCCTCAGTTCTTCCTCACCAAGATCACACTTAAGATTTTTCACACAACATATATTTATTCAGAAAAAAATTTGCAATAAATTATAATAAAAAAAGATGACACAAAATACAGAATCCCACTAGCAGCTTTGCTTAGTGACCAAAACATGTTTGAGAAATGTAACAAACAATTACAGAATAAGAATCAGAAAACAGTGAAAGGGAGACTAATGCAACATTACCACATGAGTTTGAACTGTTTCTTCCCTAAAACCAAAGATGCAGTCATTCCCTAACAGTTAGATCTGAACTCCTTACTTCAGAGGTGTTAGTCACTAATACATTGGAGGTACTTAGGAATCAGAGGTTGGGGTGCTAGAGGCACTGTAGGGAGGCAGATATCTTATGTCTGCTCTATTTCTTGTCTCCTCTACCTAGAGATTGTCTAAAACTCTCAACCATGAGTACATCTCAGGACCAGAGCTGGAAAAAGGTTGAGGCAATGAACTAAGTGCATTTGCCTTATGAGGAAAGAGTTAGGATGCTGCACACAGTTCCCAGGACAGGCACTGCCCTATCTTTGTGTTATGACCTTGCCCAGCTTCTATAATATGCCTCACCTGTGATGGCTTTCTGGCCTAGTAGGGATGACAAAAGTGTTCTGTTCACCATCTTCCGTTGACTACATCAACACCCAGCCTTTAATCTATCAGATGTGTAGATATTTGGCACCAATAATTTGATTCCTAGTACCGTAAGTCCCAGACAGGAAAGGGTTTAACCAGTCTATCACAAGGTATGTATGTTTTCTTTCCCCAAAAACCTCAAGTTATAAGAGATGGTGGAACTGGAGAACCATTCAGTTGTGCTGTTTCTCTTGGCTCTCTCCTTTGATGTGCCAGAGTTAAGAGTCAATGCTTAACACTGGACACAATGCCTGTCCATTAGGCTCCTTGAATTTAATAGTAACAGGCAAGAGTAAGTTGAGTCAGGGTGGTTTTAATGAAAGAAAACAAGAGAAAGCCAATTGTATCAGGTAATTTTGCAGTCAGTAGCTGGTTTGCCAACCGACATAGATTATTTTTTTTTTAAAGGCTGCCCTACAGGGCTTGAGTAAATGAAGAGTGCAGAGGATTGTCTTGAGTGGCAGAGAAAGGTGCTTAGCTGGCCCCATTGCACAATCTCTCTTAAACAGCACTGGACAAAGTGGCTAGGAGCCAAAGGGAGCTGGCTGTACAGTCCAGTCAGCCTTGATGAGGGAGGGGGCGACACTGGCCCCTTGTACGTCAGGAGACTAGTGAAGGGGTTCCCAGAATGATCCTCAATCCTCAGTACTCTTGCTGAGGGAAAGGAGAAATATCTCTAGAAAGGCCTGCTTAAGGTGCAGACTAGCTTTGTTAATGTGGTGTAAGTGTTTCTAAGTGGGAGATGGGTCCCATAGTTCTCATGTAAAATTTGAAAAAGAGAAGGGATGGTAGGAAGCAGGACCTGTCAAACATGAATGTTTTCACTTGTGAATACTCAAAGTGCTTCTACTCTTATTCTCTCACATCAATGGAATGTTACTTCTAATAGTCCTAAAGTTCTGCTACAAAATGAGGTCTGAGACAAGAGAATATGGTTCCACTCAGTGCAGATCCATGAAAAGGCCAATGTTACAGAGACATATGGATACCGCTGTAGTAGAAATGCACAAATGCATGTAACAAAAACACGTAGAACGATAACTCACTGTTGGGGACACCCAAGGAGTCACTAGCCTCACTCTGACTTCCTCCGATGTGATAGCACTAGTAGAGTGCAAAGAGGCAAAGTGGGGATGGTAGGGCAAAAGTGCTTTAGAGGAAGGACTACACACAAGTCTGAGCTACACCAAGTAGTGCTTGTAGGCCTAGAACAGGAACATCACAGAATCTAGGCCTAGGGTGCTAAGGACAATCATGACAGCTGGGCAGGGGGCAACAAACACATCCCCAGGTAAAGGTGTGTAAATACAGAACTCTTTGTCTTATAAAGAGAGAACACAAAAACACCAAAATATGGTAACTTTGGCTTGGCAATATAAGTCTAATAGTACTTTACTGTGTAGGATATGGCAAGGGAGGGATTAGGAAACTCTTCCTTTTTCATGCCTCAAAATTCTGCAATAGACCCTTCCTGTGACATGACTTTGCAAATCACTCTGAAATACTTGGTGTCCAAGATCTTCCACCTCTAGAATCTTGGAGTGTAGTTAAGAGAAAGGGCTTACTGGTCTTCATCGCCCCCCAGCAGGAAACCCAAAAGGAACTGGATAGCACGCTGGCGTTCACTTGCAGTCTGTCTTGCCAACAAGTTAGGTGGAGGTCTTAGGAGAAGACTTGTGAAGAGAGTAGCTAGAGGGCACGAGAAAGAAAAGGGAAAAAACCCTGTCAGACACAACCTAAGCAAAGCCTCAGGGCTGGGGGTGGGGGTCAGGGGATGGGGGCAGTGGGAAGGAAGTGACTGTCCTGTGCCTGGACATTAAGGACATTCTGACCAACACCCACTGTGGCCATTCTTATTAGGTAGACTTACCGATCATGTTGGCACTGACATTGTTGTATTCAGAGAATTTTAAGAGTTCTCGAAGGAAAGCCATCAAGTAACGGAAAACATTTCTATGGCATCTTGGAAGCTGGGAAATCACCTGTTTTTTAAAAAGGGGGTAGGCAGTGAGGAGAACAGTTGGAAGAAGGGAGTAAGAAGAGCCCACAGCTGCAATAAAAGTAGTTTGTAATCCAACCTTTACAGGACCCCATTCATCTGTCACAACCCTCCTTGATTTACTCATGACCAACACAGTACCTGTCCAATAATAATTTCCAAGTCAGAATGGTCATACTATTTGGCCCCCGTCCACTCAATGACCAGGCCATGCCATCATCACACATTCACATGCACACCTCACATCACAAGCAGGTCAGTGTTAATCTGGTCTTTTCTCATTTCCTCATGATGGGAAAATGTCAGGTACCCATGGCATCTGTCAAGCTGAATAGTTTCCTCGGCAATGTCATTTAGCATGGATGGGAACTCCTCCCAACGCTCACTAATCTGATTCAGAGGTATTCTCAGCTATTGCTACACCAAGCAGACAAAAAGAAGGCTCAGAAGAAGTGTCAGCCAGAATCCCATGTGTGATCAGCTTCCACAAGTTTATGCCACAGTAGAGGTATCCACCCTACTCAATGGGCCAACTGGAAGAGGGTGCAAAATATAATAGGAAATAACACAACCTAAAATTTAAGGGTTCCAACTCTCAATACTAGTGTCAAGCCGTGAAAAACAGATTCAGAGCCATCCTACCATGTACCTGGCAGTGCATATGGCTTTATAAACTCAATGGTTTCTTTATGGGGGAGCCTGCCCCGAACACATCCTCAGAGCAATAAAACTTACCTGTCTGCAAACCCGGGGATCCTGAGCAGAGTCAAGGCAACGCTGATACAGCTCATAACAGATGACGGGCTCTGGCAGGGCTTCCAGGAAAATTAGCAGAGCTTCAGCCACAGAGTGATTACTGCCAGCTGGATAGACAAGTAAAGGGAAAGGAACTCCAGGAAAAAGGACACACCTGATTTGCTCCCCTCCTCAAGCTCCCTCAACAACTGCTCTCTTCCTCTTATTCAGGGCATACTGATCCTAATTGGGGTTTGATTATTTTATTGGTCCATGTACATTGCAGCTGAGTTGTGACAAAATTGATCAGACTCTTGGGAGGTTTGGGCCAACTTGAGAGTCAGGGGAATATAGCCTGTAGAAGGACAGTCCACACTGGATCAGTCCTGGAAACTAGTCCCATCTTCCTCCCTGTCATAGTGACAGGACATCTGGTGGCAGAAGTGATAAATTGCTTGAAGCAGAACAGTACCAGTGCTGTGGGTCCTATTTTCTGTACTTATTAAAAGCCATTATTGCCCAGCTGGCGTGGCTCAGTGGTTGAGTGTTAACCTATGAACCAGGAGGTCACAGGTCAATTCCTGGTGAGGACATATGCCCGGTGTGGGGCGTACAGGAGGCAGCTGATCTGTGATTCTCTCTCATCATTGATGTTTCTATATCTTCCTCTCTCTTGCTCTCTGAAATTAATAAAAATCCATTTTTAAAAAGTCATTGTAACTTACCCTTGATTCTTTTCAGTAAGAGTCTGATACAAAGAAAGGTCAAAATTTCATAAAAGAAACTGAGAAACAATTGTAAAGTCAATGATTACCTTATAATAAGACACTGGAGGTCAATGGGGGAAAAAGGAGACATATGTACTACTATTTGTAATACTTTAAACAATAAAAGAATAAAATAAAAGAAACGTATGAAGAAAAGATGGAAGCACAAACATCAAATGTAGGTGGGAAGAAGAGCTTGGCCAAGTACTCATCCAGCTTCCTAAGCCTTTGTCAAAAAGGATACGGATTTTCTCAGGAAGGCTGGTATCCAGGCAGTCTATGATCTGCTGTAACTCTTCCTGCATTCCAGGGGTTTGGAACAGGTCCTCCTACCAAAGAAGTCACAAGGAATGGAATAAGGCAAGATAATCCTAAGGTTCTGAAGACTACCCAGGGATGAGGAGAGCAGCAGGAAGTAAAGGGAAAGATGGTGTGCATAATTATGATTAGGAATGGAGGTGTGACAACGGTGCCTGCTCTCTCTGTCATCTCTATAATTTGTGTGAAATCTTATTTCAAACCAGAAAATTATCTTCAAAAGTTTTAGCCTGTACCCGATATGGCAGAGGACTAGATGGCTAGATCAGGAAACCAGGTGTTCTCAGTTCTACCATGTTGACAAGTAGAAGACAGAGTCTAAAGTTTCCAGGGGTGGGCAAACTTTTTGACTCGAGGGCCACAATGGGTTCTTAAACTGGACTGGAGGGCCGGAACCAAAGCATGGATGGAGTGTTTGTGTGAACTAATATAAATTCAAAGTAAACATCATTACATAAAAGGGTACGGTCTTTTTTTTCAATAGTTTTATTCATTTCAAACGGGCCGTAGTTTGCCCATGGCTGGAAACAGTAGAACCACATTCAAAGATACAGGTACCCTCATTTCTGAAAACTCACGTTATGACACTTTGCTTTTATGAAAGACCTACGTTAGTACTTGTTTTTGCTAACTGAAAGCAATCCAAAAACAATTTTTTGCTTTTCTGAAAAAATGTAAGAAACAAAAATAGCATTCAGTGTTTGTTTTGCAGCAAGCTATTATACAGGCATCCCACACCCAAGCAATGAGAGTGGCCTGGACAAGCTCCTTCCCCACAAACTACACCCAGCATCAGCATCTCAGCATTAAGCCACCATAGCTTTGAACTGTCTGTGAGCATCTGTGCTTCATCTCCATTTATTTATGCATTCCTGATTTTACTGTATGTTAGTGTTATTTTAGGTTTTATGTGTTATTTGGTATGCTTTGGTAGGTCATTTTTTGGGTTTGGGAACATTCAAAAATATTTTCATATAAATTAATGGTAATTACTTCTCTTTACACCATTTTGGCTTATGAAAGGTTTCATAGGAATGCTCCCGATAGCGGGGGAGACCCGTATTACAGAATGCTGGGACAGGAGTAAATGGCATGTCCATCACAAACCTTGCTGCTCAATTTGGTCCCAAGAGATTTCTCTTTTTGGGGGAAATAGGTTGGGGGTGACTAGCATATTAGATAAGATTTACAAGAAAAATGAAGACCAAATTTAAAAAAATGGGCTTGAAGTTTGCTTTAAACTTTAAAATCTGCAATGCCTACACAACAGCAAAAGCAGGCATGATCTCAGGTACGTAGTGGTCCAGGGAAAAGCGTGTGCAGCCACGAGACAGGCGGACTCAGTTCGGGTCCCAGCTCTGCCACTACGCTTATGCTCTGGTCTTAGGTAAATCACTTAACCTGCAAGCTTTAGCTCTCACATCTGTAAATAGGGATACTTCCATGTGCCCAGACGATCTGACAGTGCTGCCATGTGGAGGTATCTTGGGACAGTTAAAAGCTCTAGACTAGCGTTTCTCAACCTGTGGGTCGCGACCATCGGAAAACACATATAGCATATCAGATATTTACATTACGACTCATAACAGCAGCAAAATTACAGTTATGAAGTAGCAACGAAAATAACTTTATGGTTGGGAGTCACCACAACATGAGGAACTGTATTAAAGGGCTGCGGCATTAGGAAGGTTGAGAACTACTGCTCTAGACTGATGATTATTTCCCACTGAACTCACACACCTTCCAAAGTTGTAGAGCAGGCCCACTCTCACTTACCTGGTGACAGGCATATCTGAATAAGTGATCTACCAGAAGCCAGATCTCCTTGGGGACCTGAAGGGGTCTCTCACTGGTGCCTTCATCCAAGGGAACCATCCGCAGAAGAGATTTCTCCTAAGAGATGAGAATCAAAAGGGTCTCAATAAAAACTTTAGTCTGTAACTTACTCTCCAAATCCTGCTTATATGGGTACAACTTGATCTTCATCTGTTAATATATTTGCAGGGTTTTTTCCCCCCTCACTGGGAATACCTCTGGTCAGAAGGTACTTGATACTGATTCTCATAGTTAAAGGATCTCCTTTTCTAGATGCTTCACTTAACCATTAAGCATTCCATTTGGGTTTATTAGGTTTATCACTTGGATGCACTGTGTGCTATAAATCCTTTCAAGGGTGACACTGAGAACCAGCACTCCAGCGACTCAGTCACGGTAGAGTCCACACACCACCAGAAACGTGTGGACCATTAAATTACAGTTGTCAACACAGTACTCTGAGAGAGCAGCATCTACTTAGGCTTTTGTTGACTTTTAACTTATTCTTCTTTCAGGTTTTACCACAAATATTAGAGTTTTCACTGTTGATTTAAATGAGGTTCACTGGTCCTCAGGAATTCAATACAATTCTCCACATTAGACCTACGTGCATGAATTATTTCAGGCTTGACAGAAGGTCTAATCTTAAGGCACTAAAAGTCATAAGCCTTAAGATCCAAAAATAGTAAACTGAATACAGCATACCAAGAGCCAGAAATACAATGAAAAGTCTAGGGTCTGAGTCCAGAAGTTATTTTTTATATTAATAGCTCAGCAAAAATTTCTCAGGGCTTTGACACCTTTCACCTATCTTCCTATTATCTGTTAGATTCTCCTGAGAGAATCTAAGAGGAAAAACACAGAAGTGACATAAATTGGATCAATAACTAAATCTGAACTTGAAAACGGTGTGTGAATAAACTCAATTTTCTTATGTTTATATAGTCAAATATAAATTATAAATTATATAAATTATATTAAAAGATGTCTGAAATGGGTTAAAAGGCATCTGAAGGCAGCCTTCATAAAAATCCTAGTGGAGAAAACAGCGAACAACTTTTTTGTATCTTTTCCCCATCCTCCTCCTCCAGCTTATGGTCATATATTATATATATTCAACTTTAGGAAATTCTGTAAATTCCATGTACAACTCCCAAGCCATGCAGCTTTAAGGGAAAGAAATAAACATTTTACTACTTCCAGAGACTGTGTCCACCAGAGCAGAGCTAAGGGCTCTTAACATTTTGTTCTTCTATAAGTACTGGTGACCTTTTAAAGCCCCTGTGTCTTTCTGGGGGAGATGAGAAAGAGAAGGGAGCATGGCAGCTGGTTACCATTTAAAATCTATTTTCTTCACATTTATTTTGCTTCATTTCTTTCTTTTCTCCCCGGGCTTCTATTACTTTATATTCACGTTCCCTAGGGTTGCCAGAACTTCTAACAGCGGCTCATCCTCTAACTTCTTTCTGGTTGTGAGTATTGAATCCAGGCATCCACATGGTACTTTAGCCAAAACACTGTCCATAATGCACTCTGTTCACTTTTTGGACCAAATGCAACACAAGTACAAATTCTGTAGAAGATGCCACCAAACTTACCATATATAAATTATTCAGCACTGATTCATATACTCATAAAAAAAATCTGAAATCCAATCGGCACTTTTTCCTGCCCTAAGGCATTAAGGCAACACAGGCACTGTCCAATATGAAAAGACAGAACATGGTCTGCTATTAACAGGAAAAGGTTGGGAGCAGAACCGTCACAATCCTTAGTGGTTTAAAAAGGTTAATAAAATGTCAGTAGGTTATATACACCATCCACTATCAATTTTCAAATTCATGTATGATAATATGAAATGTCACACTTGAGGTCTCTGAAGTCTAGAAAAAGTTCATGCACAAGAAATAATACTTTTTTAAAAGTCCACAAATTATCCAGAGCTCTTAACTTTCAAAGAGAAACCAGGGACATTTGTCTTCTTTCAACAAGACACATCCAGTGTGTGATGAGCCCACACATTGTAACGCTAGTGCTAATAACTAACGTACAAAAACAGTACATCCCCACCACAAAAAGGTCTTAACTGCACCAAATGTGGTGGTCACATTAGTGACTGTGTGAAAGTGCTTTAAGAATGTTTTTCAAGCCCCTGTTTCTCTACTTGATAGCCCTGTACGGAGCCAGACACTCTCAAGTTCAAAGAGGCGGAAAGCCGCAAAAGGAGCGCTTCACTAGCCGTCAGGAGATCTGGTTCTAGTCTCCTTTGCCCCACACTCCTGACACCCTTGATGTCAGGAACAGTATGACTCTGGTGAGTTTTTCAATTGTGCTGGCCCTTAGTTGCCTCATCAACGGAATGGAGAAAACACCTGACCCTGTCCAAAGGCAGAGAGTGGGACCAGATGACCCCTTATGAATTCATGAAGCTCTATTATTTTATTCTTATGCTCTATTTCTTGACCAGATCTGGGTATTCTTTCAGTAATTAATCACTATTATCACTAATCCCAAATAACTTTTTTTCCATAGAAAGCAGAAAAATAATTTATTCCAAAAGATGGCAGAAGTAAGAAATTCATCCTGAAAATATACTTTGGTGTAACTCTGCCGGGACAGATCTCCCCTTGAACATGTTCTGCTACCGGCTGCCGCACTGGAGTCTTACTGTCTCATGACAGCTTTTAAGCACGTCACTGCTTCTTCCCATGTCACAAGCAGGCAGGAGCCATCTTCAGATCCACAGGTCCCAAGGAGAGTGCCGTGTTTCCCAGAAGAGCACCTTCTGTCTCAGAGGAGTGCCTAAACATTTGATGGCGTCAGCACAGTTTAGATTAAGGAGGCATATAATTCATCAAAGTGTAAAAAAGCTAACAGGAAAATACTGCACTGGAGAATAAGATGGCCAACTGTGGTGTGCGTGTTTAAGGCAGCTGATGGCCAGAGCAAGCGAGCAAAGGAAGGTGGCCCAGGTGTGGAGGTGACTGCACATATAGAGGAATTCTCGATTGATGGCTTGATGGCTGAGCACTGGGCAACAGGTCTTCTTCCTCAAGGCCAGTGATACTTGAGATACCAGATGGCTTCGTTTTTCAACTGTGGTCCAAAGAGAGGGTTGAGTTGGGCCAGAATTGCAATCAGCCAAAAGAGAGAGCAGCAAATTGAACAGGTCACCACATGGTGATTAACTCCCCGGTTGGGACCCTTAGGGGTGAACCAGGGCACCAGGAGACCGACGATGCTCCAGAACATGCTCATCACGATCAGAGGCACCGTGAAACCGCTGTACACCATGGTAGCCACCGGAGTTGCTAGCCCCTGCCCCACCACCGCACTTGGGTCCCACCTGGAAGACCCAAGTCACTCTTAGTGCAAGAGCAACACACTTTTGGTTTTATTATCATTGGAAATGGAGGACAGCTAAGTGGTACCGTCCACCATCTCATGAATTTTCAGATGCATAAACAGCTCTTTAGTTATTTCTCATTTCAAAAATACAAGTCTGGAACCTTGAGTCTATTGCTTTTATGTCCTGGGTCTCAATGACTTGACTGGTAGAGTTAGTATCTTTCCTGTACTTCAGACACACTAAAAGCCAGCTCTGGGGGATTTTCACAGAGTCAGAGGTCTCTGAAATGGGAAAGCCTAGGGACAAATTCCAAGGACCACAGTTAAATGTTAATCAAGCACAGGGAAAAGCATAGGTTGCATTACCTTTTCTAGGAAGCTGTCTTCTTCCTGAGAGCAGAGCAGGAAAAGAAAGTCATTGACAGATAGAAAATTATTAGAATTAATTTATAGAATTAGAAACAGATCAGTATTATTAGAACTCAACTAGCTTTAAACAGTTTTAAATTCTTCAAATAAATCATGACTGTCTAAAGTGAAACAATTCTCATATGCAAAGTTCTCTATTATGCATATTAAATTTTTGTGCAGTTTACTGAGAACTATCACTCAAGAAACATTCATGTGCAGTCCTAGACTTCTGTGTCCTTTGGCAGCTGCCAGCTGACCTGGTCGAATGGCCCTGATGTTTCCTTTTCCTGTGCTGCCTGGAGGCAGGCCCAGCTGCTGCACTGTGCAGCTTCTTGCTTCACCCTAATGCAGGGGTGGGGAACGTCCGGGGCTGGATAAGCCCCTCGAAATCATTTGGTCTGTCCCTGCCAAGGCATGAGGGGTGAGTTAATTAAATGTTTGACCAAATATAGCAGCCTAATTTTTAAGCTGATAATTTTGTATGGCCTTCGAATAATGTTATAAATATCTAAATGGCCCTTGGCAGAAAAAAGGTTCCCCATCCCTGCCCTAAAGCCACTTCAATGGAAAAATCTGGTTGTGAGCCTGATGGTGGTCATTCAGAAGGAGGTGGTAAGTTTCTCTCCTCTCAACTGCTATTCCTCTTACCCTGGCTAGCCACACTCCTTTCCATCTCCTCATAGCTACTCCCCTCCTCAAAGGACCTTAGAGTCTCCCAAATATGGAGGTCCCTCTAAAATGTAAATTAATTCTACTTCAGATCTTTGCAGGCCAGAACATCCATCTTTATCCCTGTTGTGTTTATCCTATAGGACATAAGAGGAAAAAAGAAAAGCAGGGGAGAGGGAAGAAGCGCTGAATTAAAAAGCTTTCTAAGCATCTCTGTCTTTTGTGTTATTATTACAATCCAATAACAGCAACAATAACTACACATCCACCGCTTAGGGAGCTTCTGCCATATAGTGGGAACTGTGCAAAGTGCTCATACACAATGTCATTTATTCTGCACATGTGTGCAAAGTCGGTATTATCCCCACTTTACAGATGAGGAAACTGAGGCTCTGAGAGGATTAGAACTCAGGTCTGACTCCACAATCATTACCACTATGCTCCCTTAGACAACTCAAAAAGGAGAATCTGACTGCCTCCTGGACAGAGAGGCAAGGAAAAGCGGTGAGAACGTATTCCACTCCATAGCAGGCTAAAGACAGTGAGAAACCCTAGTTACAAGGCAGCATAGTTAGCAGGAAGAGTACAGGCATTGATGTTAGTCCTGAGCACAAATCTGTTCTCTTATTAATTTTCTACAGGCCTTAAGCAAGTTACTAAACTTTGTAAATCCTTAGTTTCTTCATCTCTAAAACAGGGATAACAAAATTTATCTCATAGGGACAGAGAAGCAGCCTAAACCCAGCAGTGGTACGATGGTAGGCCAGCAGAAGGCCTGGGTCCCTCAAAGCTCCTTCTACCTTCCCAGCAACTCCAAACAGGAATCCTTCCAATCCCACCACAGGCCACCAAGAACTCGAGTATAGCCCTAGCCAGTTTGGCTCAGTGGATAGAGTGTCAGCCTGTGGACTGAAGGGTCCTGGGTTCGATTCCGGTCAAGGGCACGTATCTCGGTTGCAGGCTCCAGGACGAGTGCAGGAGGCAACCAATCGATGTTTCCCTCACATCGATATTTCTCTCTGTCTCTCCCTCTCTCTTCCACTCTCTCTAAAAATCAATGGAAAAATACCCTCAGTTGAGGATTAAAAAAAAAATGATGTTGAAAAATAAACAGATAAATAATAAAATAAATTTTAAAAAAAGAACTTGAGTATAAATTACACATCTAAGGTCTAATAGTAAAAGAAGAAATCTTGTCTCATGTTGCTACCAGAGATGTATTGGGGCTGAGTGAGTGGTGGAGTATGTTCTCTGGCATTTCGAGTGGTAATGTTGAGTGCATGTCCCCCAAAGGGCTATGATTTATGGCGAGTAGGTTGTTAGTATTAATAGATATATTATGAATTAAACATTCTTTTGTGGGTTTATCTGGGCTTTTAAATACCACATATAAAACAAAATAAAAATAATCAGAGTAACAGTACTTCATAAAGTATAAAGTATTTATAGTATTACTAGAGGCCCGATGCACAAAATTTGTGCGGGGTTTAGCCCTCGCAGCTGCTGGGGCTGCCTCGGCCAACACAGTCCTAGCTTCATCCAGAAGGTCCTTTGGCTGTCTGGTCTAATTAGCATATTATGCTTTTATTATTATAGATAATTATAATACTTTTTAATGTCAAAGTTAATTCTGAGTGCTAAACATCTAATTTAACATAATTTTGGAGCACAGCCTTTTAAAAAATGTACTTACAAGCAAAATAGAGACAGACTCACAGAAAACAGGCTGACACCTATGTGTGTGTGGGGGGTGCGGAATGGAGGTATGGAGGGATTGAGAAAAAAAAAACAGAAAAAAATTCACAGACTTGGACAATAGTGTGATGATCACCAGGGGGAGGGGCAGTGGAAGGAGATGGAGGAGAGTAAACGGAGGGGGATAAATGGTGACGGATGGAGACTTGACTTGTGGTGGTGAATACACAATACAGTGTACAGATAAAATTGTGTGCCTAAACCTATATAATTTTGTTAACCAGTGTCACCTCAATAAATTCAATAAAAATGAAAACAAGTGTAGACTACTTAGTAATAAATAGAGAATTAGCCTGTCTGACACACTCAATTTTCTCTCCTACGAATACATGCCACATGATATGATGAGTAAAACTAGGCAGAGTTTTTATATACTAACCTGTCAAACCAGGCCCTCAAAGCAGTTTTCTTTGAGCAGCAACCACTAGCAGTACCAGGCACTGTGCTAATGCCTCTGGAGGGTGGGGAGGAGAAGAAATGAGGACATAGAGAAGAAAGACACAATCCCTCTCTTGGTTTTGCAACTGAGTTGGGGTGAGAAGTCCCAAAATTTATGGCCTTATCCTATCTAATAATAGACAAACATGGTAATTAACCGTACCTCTGATTAATCAGGGCGATATGCAAATTAACTGCCAACCAAGATGGCGGCCGGCAACCAGGCAGCTGAAGCGAACAGGAGGCTTGCTTGCTCCAGTGATGGAGGAAGCCAAGCTTCCCCACCTGCCGCTGCTGGCCTCTGAGCTGCACTCTAAGCAACTATGTTGCAATTATAGAAGCTAAACAATCCCCAGAAACCTGCTTTCAGCCAGCTGGGTCTCAGACCTGGAGTAGCAACAGTGTTTCAATTATAGAAGATAAACAAACCCAGATACCTGCTTTCAGCAGCCGAGGTCTCAGAGCTGGAGCCGAGCCTCAGATCTAATGCTGGCTCTCAGTTTCAGTGACAGCCATAGAAGGTAAATAAATCCCAGAATAAAAAAAGAAAAAAGAGGGGTTGGGAGCTTCAGTCACCCGCCAGCCTGAAAATGGCCCTCAGCGCCTCAGCCCCTCACCCAGACTGGCCAGGCACCCCAGTGGGACCCCCACCCTTAAGGGGGTGTGACCAGCTGCAAACAGCCATCATCTCCTCATCCAGGCTAGCCAGGCACCCAAGCGGGACCCCCACCCTGATCCGGGACACCCTTCAGGGCAAACCAGCCGGCCCCCACCCATGCACCAAGCCTCTATCCTATATAGTAAAAGGAT